AACTAGATTATGATGGAAAACGAGACCGGTGGAATGGGTTTGATGCAGCAACCTATGCTCGTGTTATTGAGAGACATGAAGCAAGAGATGAAGCGCGTAGAAAGTACTTGAAAGAACAGCAGTTGAAAAAGTTGGAGGAGAAAAACAAGCAGAATATGGAAGGTGAGGTCAGCGATGAAGAGGATGATGAGGATTTGAAGGTTGATGAGGCCAAAGTTGATGAAAGTAAGCAGATGGACTTCGCCAAGGTGGAGAAGCGTGTCCGCACAACTGGTGGTGGTAGTACCGGAACTGTCAGGTGCCTTTAGCTTTTCTCCTGATTTATAAATGGCCATTTTTTTTAACAATGTGTGTAACTATGGTCTTTGATTATCTTTAGAAGAGGATTTGAATTGATTTTCTTAATGCAGAAATTTGCGCATTCGAGAGGATACTTCTAAATACCTTTTGAATCTTGATGTCAATTCTGCATACTATGATCCTAAAACCCGATCAATGCGTGAAGCTCCTCTCCCTGATGCTGATCCGAACAAAAAATTTTATGGAGTAAGTCTGTCTGCATTTAATTACCATCTAGAGTGTCTATATTGGTCCGCATGACTGGGCAATACAGAATTCTGATTCAGTTTTGTATCATGTGACAGGGTGATAATCAATATAGGATGAGTGGACAAGCTTTGGAGTTCAAGCAACTGAATATTCATGCTTGGGAAGCGTTTGAGAAAGGCCAAGAAATTCACATGCAAGCTGCTCCATCCCAAGCCGAATTGCTTTATAAGAACTATAAGGTTGTCAAGGAGAAGTTGAAGTCGAAAATGAAGGATGCTATCATGGAGAAGTATGGCAATGCTGCCGCTGAAGAAGAAGTACCAAGGGAACTTCTTCTTGGACAAAGTGAACAACAAGTTGAATATGATCAGGCTGGAAGAATTATAAAAGGAATGGTATGCCATGTCTTGCTGATACCTTTCCGCTTGTATTGAGCCTTAACCAGCTTAATGCATAGATAGACGGACACAATTAGTGGCTTATGGGGTTAGTTTCATGAACATTCTCTCACTTTAAGTTTGGCTAGCAATTATACATATATCCCATTCTTCTATATTTTCTATGATAATCATATGAGAAGGGGGATTTACTACCCTATCACATCGCTTATCTTTTGATATTTTAATGGTCCTGAATTCGTGAGATTCCTCTTTGGTTTGTATAGGAGACATCTCTTCCAAAAAGCAAGTATGAAGAAGATGTTTACATCAACAATCACACTAGTGTTTGGGGATCATGGTGGAAGGATCACCACTGGGGCTACAAATGCTGTAAGCAAACAATAAGGAATAGTTAGGGAAAAAACCACAAAAAACCCCAAACTTTGCCATCTGTGACACATTTACCCCGAACTTTTTTTTGTGACACCAAAAACCCCGAACTTTACTTTTTGTGACACATTTACCCCAATGTATTTAGTCCATGGGCATTTTCGTCTTTTTTGCTTTTTCTTTTTTTTTCCTTTCCGGCGAGGGCTGCCCATCGCCGGATCCGGCGAGGGGGGCCCTCGCCGGCGTCGAGCGAGGGCGGCCCTCGCCGGCGTCGGGCGAGGTTCGCCCTCGCCTGGGCGAGCGAGGCGGCCCTCGCCCGATCTAGCGAGATCGACCCTTGCGCAGTGTCGAGCGAGGGCGGCCTCGCCGGATCCGGCGAGGGCGGCCCTCGCCGGAGTCGGGCGAGGGTCGCCCTCGCCGGGCGAGCGAGGGCGGCCCTCGCCGGCGCCGGCGAGGGCGGCCCTCGCCGAGATCGGGCGAGGCGACCTCGCTCGACGCCGCGGGTCGCCTCGCCCGATCCGGCGAGGGCCGCCCTCGCCGGCGTCGGGCGAGGGCCGCCCTCGCTCGCCCAGGAGGGCGACCCTCGCCCGACGCGGCGAGGGTCGACCTCACCGAGATCGGGCGAGGGCCGCCTCGCTCGCCCGAGCGAGGGCGGACCTCGCCGACGCCGGCGAGGGTCACCCTCGCCCGGGCGAGCGAGGGCGGCCTCGCCGACTCCAGCGAGGTCGACCCTCGCCCGACGCGGCGAGGGTCGACCTCGCTCGAGTCGGGCGAGGGCCGCCCTCGCTCGCCCGGGCGAGGCGAACCTCGCCGACGCCGGCGAGGCCGCCTCGCCGGATCTGCGAGGGCCGGCCTCGCTCGGCGCCGGCGAGGGCCCCCCTCGCCGGATCCGGCGATGGGCAGCCCTCGCCGGATCCGGCGAGGCCCCCCCTCGCCGGAAAGGAAAAAAAAAAGAAAAAGCAAAAAAGACGAAAATGCCCATGGACTAAATACATTGGGGTAAATGTGTCACAAAAAGCAAAGTTCGGGGTTTTTGGTGTCACAAAAAAAAGTTCGGGATAAATGTGTCACAGATGGCAAAGTTTGGGGTTTTTGGTGGTTTTTTCCCGAATAGTTATTGCACAGGTGCAGCTGGAATTGAAGCTGCTGAAGCGGCCGCAGATTTGATGAAAGCTAATGTTGCTCGTAAAGCAGCCAATGAAGGTCAGTATGGATATAGACTGTTTTTGTTTCCTTGTAAAGGTGGTCCTAAGCTAAGTAGTCACCGAATGATCCCTCTGATGCATGCATTTAACTTCGATTAATGAAATGTTTATAGATTTAACGTTGATATATTTACGGGTGTGTAAGTCAGCTTCCTATAATTTTGATGTTGTTGGGTTGTTGAATCATGAATATAGAGACCCCTTCCCCAGCTAAAGAGGAAAGGCTTGCAACAGGGGGCACTGATGTACCTGATGACTTGGTCCTTGACAAGAAAAAACTTGCTGAAGCTCTGAAGAAGGTAACACGTCGACTCACATTTTTCACTCCCTACCTGTGCTATTACAGCAAGTTGTGGAAGAGATGAAGTGACTGATCTGAAGTTTCCTTTGAATTTATTCATGCGTATATTCTGTTGTATCTAGATGAAGATGGGCTAGCACTTTCTCCCCCACTCACTTTTTCTCCATATTCTGACTAATGTAAAATTGTTTGATCAGGAGGATGAAAGAAAGAGAGAAGAGAAGGATGAGAGAAAGAGGAGATATAATGTCCGATGGAATGATGAGGTATTGTTTCTTGTATTCACAAGACAGCTATTACTAATTGACCGAATTTAAAGGTCCTTACTGCCCTGTTTTTATACCTACGTATGTGCTTACATTGGTAGGTTACTGCTGAGGAGATGGAGGCTTATCGGATGAAAAAGATACATCATGACGACCCTATGAAGGATTTTCTCCAATAACATCTGTCCTTTTGGAGCTTTTGAAGCAAATGTGTAGTAGTTCTTATCTTTCTTTTTGAAAAAGACAAGATCATCATATTGATATGATGGGAAGCTGTGAAAATACCTATACATTAACCCCTCCTATAACCCACCAAGGAGGCTCTTCACTTTCTTGCAGAAAGGCATGTGAGAAATCATGAAATCTTGCGGGCACCATTTCATAAATAGACGAGGATTTACCGTTAGATATGAAAAGAAGTGAACGTTGGATATGAAAAGAAGTGATTATTGACATGAAAAGAAGTGGTATTTGGTTATGAAAAGTGGTGATAGTGGGAATAAAGGTACCTATTTCTAAGAGATGTGTTAATCGGTTGTCTATAAATATGATCAAATTATACATTACTCAGTGCAACTGTTTATAACAACTCTCTATTCATCATAATATTCTCTTTTTTCTCTTTTCACACACAAGTCTCTGATAATATATTTAATGTGTGATTGCAAGAGGGAAATTGAGTAATTGTCGAACTCGTTTTCATGTGATTTTGGTATATATTTTGGAGGTGTATTTATTTAAAACCCGGCAGCAACTAAAGTAGTGGTAAATAATACGTTAAGGACATTGATGGTCATCACACACCAAAGTATCAAAGAAGTAAAAACTACTGTTTTATTTTCAACAGCAATCAAATTTTCCCAACAGTTGAATATCTTCAACACGAGTGACCAAAATGCGGATGGGTTTCTTGGCCGTCGACGAAGAGCTAGACCTAGAAAGAGTAGCAACGGCGAAGTGAGAAATCGTAGAGATCCCCAACTTGGCCAATCGCACAGCACATTGAATTTCTCCTCTAAACACATGGGAGATCCTTCATTAGGACTCCACAATAATCAATTAGGCTGCGCATGGTAACTATTCTGTACCCGAGAACAGATTCTGATCAGAAATAATTCTTTTTGATTCTGTACCAGGAACAATTTCTAAGCATTTGAAGGCATTTGGTAACTGCCCAAAATTTCTATTCTTATAATAGAAAAAGAACAGAAATGCGTTTGGTAACTACACAAAATTTCTTTTTATTAATAATATTTTGAATTTTTTAATATTTCTTTCTTATTTTTCCTTTTTTTTTTCTTTTTTTATCCGTGGCCATGGCTGGCAAGGGCGTCGCGGCCCTCGTCGGTCGCGACGGCGAGGTCGGCCTCTCCATGGCCAGGCGAGGCTCGACCTCGCCGTCGCCACCCCCCACGACGGCAAGGTCGGCCTCGCCTTGGCCGGGCGAGGCTTGACCTCGCCCAAATCTGGCGAGGCCGATCTCGCCGTCGCCGAGGGCGGCGAGGGCCACCCTCGCCGGCCCTGGCCGATGGCCGGTGGCCGGTGGCGGGCCGGGAAGAAGATGAAAAACAAATAAAAAAGAAAGAAGAAAACCAAGAAGAATTAGTTCTGGAAAAATTGTTCCAGAATCAATAAGCTACTTTTATTTGCTTCTTGATTCTGTTTCAAAACTGATTCTGGGATCAATTTTTTGCAAAATTGTGCCCGGGCACAAAAATTTTAACAAACGGATTTCTGTTCTCAAACTAATTCTGGAAATAAAAGAACAGAAATTTTCACTATTTGGCACGTTGCCAAACGGGCCCCTAGCATGTATAAGCGCAGCTGCCAAAGATTCGGGCACGGGCAGCAAGGTCTTTGGCATGACCTAGAATACTAAACTGCTCTGCCAGACAAATTGCACTGTAAATTGACAGCTCTTTCAAACTTAAAATGTCCATTTCACCATTTGGGACAGAAGAAAACACAAGCATTGTATACAAATCCAAACCTTTTCTTAGCAGTCTCTGGTCCTCTTGACAAAAGCCACACAGAGTGTTACTTCCAGAAACAAAATCCAAACATTCCTAGACAACCTATACACAACTTATGAAACCTACAAATGTTATAGAACCACCAGTACTTCTGTTCTTCACCCATCAAGAGATATAAGGGAAGAGAAAGATGAAAATGACTCAAATTCCAATCGAACAAACCGAAAAAGGAAGGAAAATAGAAAGCACTCAGAAAATCTGGGACTATACGCTGCGTTTCAACCTCTCCTGGAATTCAATATCAGACCTTTCCCTCTGGAGTTTCATGTCCTCCTTGAACTTGGAGATGAACTCCTCCGCTCTCTCGTCCACGCGCAGCTGCGGCGACATTGCGACGATGGCCTTCCACTGTTCATCGATGTCGCACTCTCTCTCCCCATTCCTCTCTCCTGCTAGTTTTCTTTCTTCAACCTCAGTTCTTGACCTGCTGGTTTCTCCTTTCACACAAGCGGTAGTCTTGGAGGAACTCACAGACAAGGGCTCGTCGAAGAGCTCATCTATGTATATAGGCGCAAAGTTCTTCTCATAAGAATCGCAACCCTGATACTTGTAGTGGTGGTAATTGTGATGAAGAGGATGGCGAGCCGTGTATGGACTAGTCCTGCTGAGAGAGCGATGCCCTTTGAAGGTCAATGAGATGAGATAACGTGTGAACCGCGAGGAGAGCAAGCGGTGCGAGGCTTCTTTGATGAACCTAGAGTTCTTGAGCTTGTTCAGCCTCGAGCGGATATTGTCGGTGATCGCCTTCCATGCCTTCTTGGCAGGAAGAAGCTTCTTCCCCAAACCACGGCGTGACATTAAATCTGATACAGTCGACAGCAGCGAAGGCTACAAAGAGAGCAATGATCCACGGCAACAACCAAACAAGAAAGAGCACAAGATCACAACGTGAAGTGCCGTGGAACTATACTTTGAGAGCAGAGACTAGCTTCTTCTATGGATTAGGCAGAGAGAAAGAGGGGTTTGAAATGCAGATGGGATTCTAGGAGGAACATAAACTAAAAAAAGAGTCCTGTCCAGTCAAGCAACACGTCCTGTCCTTTCTGTTAAAACTAGTACAGCTACTCTTGCAAACGTTGCAGCCAAAAGATGCCCCGCTCCCATGATAAAATAAAAGGTTTTGGAGAATTTGCAACTAAGAAATGAAATTAAAGCCAACTAAACAAAAGCAAAATATATAAATAAGAAGAAGGGTGTTTTCTTTTTCTTTATTCAAGTTGTGCTTTTCACTTTCGGCAAATGTGGAGGGCCTTGGTGGTAGCAATCTTGGGTCCTAAGGTTTGGTTTGGTTAGGGGTGACGAGAGCAAAAGGCACTAAGAAACTACACAGAGGGAAAAAACATTAATTTCACACTTGTTTGCACGTGTTTGGTGGAACGTCATGTTTTAAAGTTTAATGTGTTGGGGCCTCCATGAGTACATGATTCAATAGAGGCAACCCTAGCGGCCGGAACAGCTCAATAATTATTTAAATTAATGTGATTATATTCGGTACATAACCGATCCAAAAATAAATAAATAAAAAATTTGACTTCACAGGCAAAGATTTTGGATGTAGCATTTAATTTAGTAACTACTTTGGTTCCAACTAGGGAAAATGACACAAATAGTCCATGAACTTTGATTCAATGTGCAATTTGGTCCATGAACTTTTAATTTGTTCAATGTAGTCCACAAACTTTAACCCAATGTTCAATGTGGTCCCTGAACTTTCAATTTGTTCAATATGGTCCCTGAACTTTCGGTACATGTTCAATATAGTCCATGAACTTTATAAAAATGTTCAATATAGTCCTTGAACTTGAATCAATGGAAGGACTACATTGAACATTTTTATAAAGTTCAGGGACTATATTGAACATGTACCGAAAGTTCAGGGACCACATTGAACAAATTGAAAGTTCAGGGACCACATTGAACATTGGGTTAAAGTTCAGGGACTACATTGAACAAATTAAAAGTATAGGGACCAAATTGCACATTGAGTCAAAGTTCAGGGACTATTTGTGTCATTATCCCTTCCAACTAATGAATGAGATGTGATGATTTGAACATCAAGTGGACAAGATTATATCAAAATGTCCATATCTTAATCACCTCTGATCTAATTCTTCCATTAGCCTAAGATTTCATCGTCCTGAAGGCCTGAGGTGACTGGTGAATCAACAAAGCAAATGAATCTTTCTCACTGCAGGTACCTTCTTTCTACTCTTTATCTTCTTCTTTATTAGCAAAAGATTGTGAGGTTGGCAAGCCATCTTTCTCCTTCCAGCTTGTAAAGTACTCTCTTCACTTGCTTTAATTCCATGACAAAAGCAAGCCATTCTTTCTACTTCTCTCGCCCACCCAAAATCGCTTTCCAGCTCAAATTCGACTCCTTGGGATACACCTCTTTTAATTTAGACCTATAACACAAGTTCGCGCTGGCTTTCTATATGCGCACCTTTTTCAGATCAGACCATATAGAAGTTATTCATTCGCATATCCTCCTGGTGCCCCGACCTGTACATGGTCCATGCAATTAACTAGATTGAGAAGTCAGTCCGGTGCATGAAAGCTAATTTGGAACTACATTATCGAAATGCCAAAAAAAATGTGCTAGGGGCATTGACGTACGCTCTCGATATCTAGATTGTGAAATTAGGACAAGGAAATGGCTAATGTATTTGTCACGGTCCAGAGGTTTTCAATGTACAATGAATTGAAAATGATCCAAGGAGACTAGGCGAGCCATGAAGCTTCTAAGGACTTAGAGTCTCTTGTGTACTCTAAAATATTCCTAGAAGCCATATGGAAGATGTATACTACTCTAAACTATTATTGTAATTAATGTGGGTAATTGGTAGATGAGGATATAAAGTTTACACCATTAAAATGGTAGATGAGGATATAAAGTCTACACCGTTAAATTGAAAGGAGACCTAGGGTTGTAATTAGAGGTGTACTTTTATATATAAGGATTCTCGCATCATCATTATCTCACAAGTAATAGAATTTCAAAGCTTATCTCTCCAGAAGAAATTATTGCACTTTGCATCTTATGCATTTGAAAAGGAACCTTTCTTAAAGTTGGAATTTGAGTATTCACATACATGCCTGCTATATCTGAGGACCCCATTATAAACAAATTGTTCTTCAAGGATATAAGGCGATGAGTTCTTTCCCAGGCCGATTAATGCCAAGGACTCAATAGCAAAGAAAATAGGGGACAAAGCAATAATATTAAACTCGTGGATGGAACTTTTCCATTTTGATTCCCGCAAATTCATACAAAGTACTACATCCATTTACGTACTTAATTAACTTAATTACTAGTTACTAATCCCCTCATAGTCCTCACTGGACAGGACATCTTTTATTCCGAATTTTAACCTCTCACTAAAGCTACATTATTACTACTTCACCCTTCACCTTCGTAGCTACACATCGACATGCACATGGTTTCACTCCCTTCCTCTAGAGCTAGACCCCGGGCTGAACACGGCCAACTCCTCCCTGCCGTACTTCAGCCTCCTCGACTCCTCCCTCGAGATGTCGTATGCGTTCTCGATCACCTCCTCGGGCAGGCTCTGGAGCACTGACAGCCTCCCCGCGAGCCGGTTGACCATCGCCACGTCGTTTGTCCTGAAGCCAATCCACTCGAAGCCCTCCTCGCTCGCCCTCTGGATCGCCACGAAGTTCTGCGGGATGACCAGGAACTGGCCCTCCCGGACCTTGCCGTCGAACGCAGTCTGCCCGGAGTCGCCCACGACCTGGACCCTGGCGCTGCCTCTGATCGTGTAGATCAGGCCGTGACTGTTCATGTAGTAGTGTGGCGCTACTATCGCATTCTGCACAACGAAAAGATTATAGTATGTGGAAAGAAAAAAAGATGAAATTGCAATCGATTTAGGCCCAATATGGCATGACCCACAATGCTCAACAAGACGAAACCTATGATGGGTTGAAATTTGAATCATGCATGTAAGGGTTTGAACACTATAATTAGGCCCAGACCAAAAGGAAATCATATAATAACACACACATAAATTAAATAACTAGAACATTAATATTCTGTGATTTCTTCGGTTTTGGCTTACCCTGTAAAGAACACCTCTCTCAGCACTAAGCTGCAGGTGGCTCAAGATGGGGAGGCTAAAGCTGTTGAGCGTGGTGATGCGTCCACCTCTCGGATTGTATATATCCGCCCGCTCGGGGTTGTCTATGTTCTCTCTAAGCCTGAGTGTGCACAGCGTCTCCTCCAAGCCATTAGCACCAGCATCCTCGCTAGTGTTGTTGAAGATGCCGCGGCCTTGCTGGCGCCTCCCCTGCCGCTCGCGCTCGCGCTCGCACTCCCACTCGCGCTTGCCTTCCTCGCCCCTGTCATACCGCGGGCTGAGGACCTGGAGCTCGTCCCGGACCTCGACGATGTGGCCCCGCTGGTCTCGCTGCCCCTTGAGCCTTTGGACTAGCTCATTCTCGACGTTAAAGGAGTCGCTGAGGATGTCATCGTTGAAGCCGCTGAAGATGTTGCCGCGCCGGCTTTGGCTCTGGCCTTGGCCTTCCCATCTCCGGCTCCTACCTCCTTGTTGTTGGTATTGTTGTGGGTTCCCAGCTAGGAAGAATTTCTTGGGAGAGAAATTAGATGACCCATGCAAAACATCATTAAGGATCGTCAGGAAGTCAAGATCATGTCATTTGTGGCTAAATTATCAGAGAAATGCAAAGACATATACTAGGATATCAGAAAATAGGTATACCCTTAAAAGGGTGTTGAAATTAATACAGCCATAGATTTAAATGTTCATTTGCAATTTTACAATTTGTCACACGTCACCGTAGACCAGTCCAAGCAAATACTCAAGTTAAACTGGCAATTCCTAGCGTATGCTCTAAGAAACATTCATTCTTTTGGAAAAGTTCTAGTGCTCTAATTGCTTGAGACGATGATGAATGAAGTGCACTGCACAATCCAAGAGGGTTTTACTCAATTCGACAGTCGAGATTCGGTCTAATGGTCGAGATTCATTCTAATGAATGGTGTTAGGTTCAGAGACTCAATTTGCATACCAACTAACTTTACCGAATCATTGCTATACGACGTTCTTACCCTGATGTTCTCGTCAAGCTGGTTTTCTTCATTGGCGGTGTTGAGGACGGAAACCAGGACGAGATCAGACTGACCCCGGTTGTAGATCCAGTAGGTGACGCCGGTGGGCAACGCGAGAAGATCGCCTTGGCGGATGTACCGGACCTTCTGGTGTCGGTCTCCTCGTTGCTCACTCTCCTCACCTCTTGTGCCTTGGCCTCGGCCTTGGAACTGAGATTGCGACGACTCGTCCTCTTGGTACGTCTCAGGGCAACCCGGAATGACCACGCCCTGAAGCCCACTTCCTGTAACCGGGAAAGAAAAATTCCTTGTGGAGTTAGTTACCATCTTGGGGGAAAAAATTGATCAACTCTAAGAACAATTAACAAATGAAAATCCAACTTTTGAAGGTCGATTGATTGGTGAATATACGTGTGATGATTCAGTTCTGATTCGTATCTGTAGGTTTGTTTCGATAGTATAATATTACATCGTCCATTCATTTTTATAATGCTCGTTCATCCGATTGTTCAGTGAAAGAAGAACAAACAAACACAATTGCCGAAGACTCAAAATGCACCAATTGCATGCAACGATAACAAACGTCACTTTGTGCAGCAAACAAAAATACCTGCATGAAAGACTTAATCTCACCTTGAACCACGTACAAGAGCTCCGGGGCATTGCTGAAGGCAGGCAGGAAGAGCCCGTTGCGGCGGATGACGTGGCGGACCGCGGCGGCCCCCGCGCACGCGAACTGGTCATCCTCCTCGTCCCAGAGCTCAGTGAACCCGGCCTCGGCCTCGACCCTCCGGCTTGGCTCGAGGGTGTCCAGCCTGTCGAGCCGGCACTCGCTCCTGAACCGGAGCTGGTGCCGCTGCCGCTGCTGCGGTTGCCGGCCGAATGGCCAGGGGCCCTGCCCCGAGGCCTGCCCAAAGTGGGCGGAGCAGCCCTGGAGGCCGACGAGGATGGCGAGGAGCCCTAGGGAGAGCAACAAGGAAGAAGAAGATGAAGCCATATTTGGTAGTAAGCCAGAGATACCAAAAGAGACTTGAATAAGCTGAAGAAGTAGTGTGGAGATCGCGGGGCATTTATAGGAAGATCAAGCGGAGGTGCGTCCGGGACGTGGCGAGCTGCGTTTGAAGTGGGGGTTTGCATGCGGGAGTGTCTTTTACTGATTTTGCATGGCTGAGCGAGGGTCTGCTTGGTTTACACATAGTGGTTTAAGGAGTGATATGTGGCGATATGGTGCGGAGGATGAGCACATGCAAGAGGCTGGACAGCAGTGTTTGCAAGTGAAAGCTATTTGCACGGTGGTGGTTCTGATCTAGTTTTCTTGTGCCATTGTCTGACGTGTGTTCTTGGCACTTTAGGGACCTTAACTAGTGAATGACGACTCGTTTGTGAACAACGTTCTTTGCAGAAGAGGGTCCATGACGGGAAAATGTCACGTTCTATGTGAATATCGTTCTTGAATTTTTAATTCGTTCAACGTAATTCTCGAACTTTAATTCAATGTGCAGTATTGCTTATCAACTTTCAATTTGTTTAATATGATTCATGAACTTTAGCTCAAATATTCAATGGGGTCCTGGAGCTTTTAAACATTTTTCATATAGTCTAGGGATTGGATTGAACATATCGAACTAATTAAAAATCTAGGGTTAATATTGGATATTGGGCTAAACTTTAGGGACCGTATTAAACAAATTAAAGATTCATGGATGACGTTATATGTCAAGTCAAAGTTCGGAGACCATTTGTGCTATTATCCCGTGACTACATTGAGAGTGAGTTGATTTGACGGATCCTCGTGGAGCATGGACGGCACGGGTTCCCTCCATTCGTGATCGAATATATAAAAGATCAATGTGTTAATAAGTAGTGATTTTCCAGGCAACAAATGAGTGGCCGGTTGATCAATGGAGAGTACGAAGCTGAGAACACCGACGATTAGTCCACCGAATTCGTGAAGTTGGCGACGGCTTTGTCTTGAGATGTGAAGCTGATTTCGACTCGAATAATGAATTGTGTGAGCAATGTCTCCAGTTTGCTGAGACACGATTTGAGACCTCCAAGGCTTTTGCTAACATGGCTACATCTTTCATTGTGGAGTCTTAAAGAAAAATGATATAAATAATCTTTAAACTTTAATTCGATATGCGATATGATCTCTGAACTTTTAATTTGTTCACTGTGGTCTCTGAACTATAACCCAATGTGCAATGTGCTTCTTGAATTTCTAATTTGTTCAATTGGTCAATTTAGTCCCTATACGTCAATTTAGTCGTTGGACCATATGTTAGTTGTCCAGGTCCAGGGACTAAATTGACTGTGCCAAAAGTTCAGTGATTACATTATACATTGGGCTAAAGTTTAGTAATCACATTAAATAAATTAAAAGTTCAGGGATCACGTTACATGTTAAATCAAAGTTCATGCACCATTTGTATAATTCTCCCTATTAGATGTGGTTGAACTGGAGCAACCATCCATTACCTTTGTGGTCTTCTCATCATCACTATGCGGCTATGGTGATTGTTGTTGCACTTGCCATCTTCATGGCACGACTTAGGTTCTTCACTACGATCCCTTGCACCCTCCATCCAAGTCAGTCTCGACGAGAATCGGTTACTTCTCGATCGGAGAAGTGGAATTGATCAAAAAACAATTCGGCTCTCTATTCTAATCCTGGAACCTTCCGGTACTATTGGGAATCCACCCAACCAAGCTCATCCCAAAGTTCAACCGGTAGTTCTAGGGTAAAACTAGCACTAGAATCTAAGGCTCAGTTTGTTTTATGGAAAATAATTTCTAGGAGAACGTTTTTCGGAATAAACTAGTCATGGAAAATATTTTTCATCAATGGACAAAACATCAACAAAAGTTGGAAAAATGTTTTCCACTTTTTAGATATATTATTTCACCTCACTTTCTTTCAAATTACACATTTTCCTTTAATTTTTTATAAATCGAGTTTAAATTATGTTTTCTTTTTTCTTTTCTTTTTTTCCTTTTTTTTTTTTTTTGCTTCTTCCTCGGCCAATTGTTGGCCATGGCTTCGGCCAGCGACTGGCCACAGGTGAGCTTGAGCCTCACTATAGGCTGGCGAGGCTCGAGCTCGCTCGATTCCATCAAGCTAGGTGAGGAACCGGATCCGGTGACGCTCGAGCTCGCCCGACCAGCCTTGGACGAGCAAGGTCGAGCCTCGCCTGTGGCTGGTCACCGGTAGTCGCTGTGGCCAGCAGAGGAAGAAAGAAAAGAAAAAAAAAAGAAGAGAAAAAAACGAAAAGAAAAGAAATATAAAAAAATTCAAAAAATTTAAAAATAATTAAAAATGTAAAACATAATTAAACATTCTATTTTTAAAAAAAATAAAATAAAAAAATATTAAAAGGAGTGCAAGAAGGAAAATCAAATTAGATTTTCATACCGATCGACGGAAACTATTTTCTAATTCATTTTCAGGTCTCAGCCGAACATTGGAAAATATCGTCATTTTACTCTTGAAAACAATTTCCAATAATGACAAATTATCTGTGAAACGAATGGAGTCTAAAACTGCAGGAGAAAAATCGACCTTGAAACCAATTCTCAAATATCATCTCGATTAATTATCAAAATTTAATATTTCTACTCTAACTGTCTAGATGGTGTGCATTTTCTCATTCAGATGGACTAGATGAGTATCTTCGTCTCTTCTCTGTTTGTCTGTACGATGCGATGTGAGGCTCGCTCACGTGCAATAGCAGCGCGAGTGGGCCTGAGGTCCGCGGGACCCAATGCAATCGCCGCCGTTGATTTTGTGATTTGATTTTTCATTTAACGGGAAACACCGAAAACTTTTCGAAACATGCAAGGAAAAAGCCACAAATTTCGCATGATGCTGCTCCGTCTCTTCTAAAGCTATCGACATTTTTCTTTCCTCGATCTTTCACTCCTCCACATCATCTAATGTGGATTAGGCCTCCTCTTTTTGTGGTTACCACTAGTTAACTTAGCTTATCGACTTCCACATCAGAATTAGTCTGTTGTCTACTTTTGGAACGTAAGTAATCTGAATGGTGTGTGTTGAAGACAAGACAACTTTTATTATGAAAAACCTGCACAACTTGGGAACGTTTTAATTTGACGCGAGGGTTGTTGATAAGGGTCTGTTTAGTAACGTTTCTGTTTCTTTATTTTTCTGTTCTTTTGTTCCACGGAATAGAAAAAAAAAAGAAATCCGTTTAGTAAAAAAAATCTATTTTTTTGTTTTTGGAACAAAAAAGTGTTCCTGAAATAGATTTGGAACAGAAACAAGAAGCAAAAAAAATCTGCTTCTTGTTTCTGGAACAAGAAAAAAGAAATGATTTTTTTTCTAGAATCCTTCAAAAACAAGAAACAATCCATCGGCCGCAATCCGCCCACCGCCGGCCGCTTCCCGCCCGCTGGCCGCCTCTTGTCATCGACCACTGTTCTCCGCCGCTTGACACTTGTCGCCACCGGCCGCTGTCCTCCACCGCTGGCCGCCGTGCTCCATCGCCCGACGCCGACCGCCACCCGGCGTTGGCCGCCTCCCCCCGCCAACCACCCGACGCCGGCGATCACCCACCACCAGTCGCTGTCCTCCGCCGCCGCCGGCCACCCATCGCCGGCCGCCATCCTCCGCCGCCGGCCATTGTGCTCCACCGCCCGACGCCAGCCACCACCCGGTGCTGGCTGCCCTCGGCCGCCGGCCACCTCCCGCCCTTGGCCACCCGACGCCGGCGGTCACCCACCATCGGCCGCCATCCTTCGCCACCGGCCGCTGTGCTCCATCGACCGACGATGGCCACCCTCCGCCGCCAGCCACCTCCCGCCGCCGCCCCTCGCTGCCGTCACCGTCGCCCGATGCCACCGTGCTCCGCTGCTGACCGACATGCTCCATTGCCTCTCGCCGCCGACCGCCATCCTCTGCCGCCGCCGCCGACCACCATCCTCCGCCCCCCACCGCCACCCGCCGTCCTCCGCCAGTAGCTCAGAAGGGAGAAACTCGTCCATGGAATAGAAATGGATCATTCGCACCCTAAACGCGTTTCTATTTTTTTTCTATTCCAGGAATAGAAATTTTGTGCAGTTACTAAACGCTATTTTTTGCTAAGAAACTGTTCCAAGAAATAGAAATAGAAAAAACTATTTCTGATCAAAAATTATTTCTGGGAACAGAAACGTTGCTATGCAGACCCTAAACTGCTTTGATTTCGTTTGTCTTTGTAGAATTGTGTGCAAGTGTGCTCGTGTGGTTCAAATATGCAGACACCCTAGTCAATGGGAACGGCACACAGGTTGCAGAGCCAAAAAGTGGAAGTACAGTGTCAAAATCAAGGATACAAAAGAACCACCGGAGAAATGGGTTGGTACACTCTCCTGTGACTTCACAGTGTCACTTGCGCTCTTTCTTCGTCTGTTAACTGATACTGGACTTGCTTATCTAGTCTGTTTGATTCTTCTGAATATAATCAACCAATCATGAACTTTGTTCAAATATTTCGAGCGTCAAAGGTACTGATAAAGTAAATACCATGGAGTAGCTTTTGCTTATATAGCTTGTGGTGTGGTGCGGTGCGGTGCGGTGTCCGCGATTTACATTTTACACTTCATGTGCAGATTTGGTCATTAACCTATAACCACCTACAGGGGGCCGTGGGTTTTTTCGTCATGGTCTGTTTATGCTATCATTATTATACAGCCCGTACCATGCTTCTGGAATCAATAGTCTTGGTCATCTTAAGAATGCTGTCTTTTAGCGTATTAATTAATTATCTTTCAGCACACACCATTTGAGTTTCTGTATCTCCTTCATTTAATCCTTTTCTCACGTCAAGGATTTCCACTTAGAGACTAAACATATTCTGATACTCAGATGGGAAGAAACCATTTTTAGGTCATTGAGGTAGAAGTACTCAATGTTATTCGAGGGTCTGAAACTATCTTTCGCAGCCTTTTCACGTGAAATAATATATCTTGGTGATGATTGTATGTATTGTATATGTGGTG